GTATTATATTATACTTATTGTCTTATTACATATATATTTTATTAACTATAATAATTATGAAATAATGCATAATATACGAAGTATCAATGTAGGTACGCAAGATATTTATAATATTCAAGCTAAATCTTTAAAGGTTAGGGGGGTGAAATTGGGAAAAGTAGACTGACCAATCTCAAGTAGACATAATAACGAATTCAAATCTGTTTTAAAAAGTATTATAGCATTAATAGATCGATCAGTATGATGGAATAAAAATTGGATGTTTTGGCTAAAATAACCGTTTAATATATTATAAAAAATAGTATTTCGTCAGGAACGTTTTTTCCCGACTAGCTCCGCATCGTGCCATGAAAAACTTCGTTTCAAAAATGTTATTTATAATTTGACTTTAAAATATATTTGCCTACTTGTGAATTAATATTGAACTCTTTGTTGTTTGTAATGTTTTTATTAATTATTTATTTATTGATTCAACTTCATAACAATACATTTTACATTAAATAACTACATTGCAGATAAGTTGATACCTACTGTCCTACTCTCTATAAACTTATATTATATAGCTTGTAGTGACTAGTGAGCAGAAATTTGGTTGGGGGGGGGGGGATATACGTTTTTAGCAAACATGAATGGTCATTATCAATACTTTGATCAAAATGTTAGAAGTAAAAAAAAGTTTTGGGGGGATCTATCCCCCTAATCCCCCCTAATTACGCCCCTGCTAGTGAGGTACTGAAGTTATTAGTAGGTAAAGAGTCTATTACAATGATTAATTTATACAGACATTAAACACATAACTATGTGACCAATATTTCACTGCCAACAATATTCAAAAAATATATTATACCCATTGACTTCTATATCAAATATTCTATATCATGTTTTTATTTAATATATTGTTTATTTTGCCGTTTTAACTTTGCTTTTCAAATTTGTATGTGTGTATTAAAAAATAACATTTTGTACCTATACAATATAACTCCTGGGCCTACACACCAGTTGGCAGTTTTTAACTCAGAGAGTCCCAGTAACCTTTTTTTTTATATCAAACAAATAAAGATAAAAATAAAATAAAAATATTGTTAGTTTTAACTGAAATTATACAGTATACTCATATTTGTATTCATTTTTGGTATACATATAGTTAACAGGTTATAAGTTTGTTCAGATCTTCCCCCAAAAATACAAAAGTTATGTACCTATACGACAAATGTAAAAATGCATCGATACTGCGAATATAATTATATCTACTAATACATTAATATAGAATTTTTCATAAGTACAGTGGATAATGTAAGTCGTTATTATTTCCTTGAATGGACCACATAAATAATAAGGCCTAAACGAGGTCCATTTCAGTCTCGAAATTTACAAAGTTTGAATGATCATCTCAACGTCACCCAGCATGAGATTTTGTCAAACACTTGGAACATTTCAATTTTTAAGAATAATTAACTAAACACATTTGATTCTACATTGTGTATATTTCAACTTCATGTGACGACCCATTTCAATCATTCAAACGGTTATTGATATTGGCACGCAATAACATTAACAATAAAAAAAACAGACAAGCAGATAACCGCTCCGCTATATCTATACAAGTTTTCAAGTGCGACTCATCATTAAATAGTTCATTGTATAATAATGGTTGTGTTGAATTCGAATTCAATGATAAATTAATGTGTTTTTAATTTATCTTTTGTCATGCATGCACTGAAAGTTTAATTTCCGATGCCAATCAGCGTTTTTCAGTCTAGGGGACACTAAGTATATTTTTTTTTCGGCCCATCAGCAGTAAAGTCTAGTGGTCGTAAAAGTTTCTGTACAAATCAGATTGATATCCATGAACGCAATACTATGTTTTGCCGAATAGGGATACCAAATACTAATTAATTGGTGGGTGCTGATGTTCTATAAAACAGTTTAGTAAATCTAGATATCGTTAAAGACAAGAACAGTACATTATGGATCACTATATAACATCGACAGAAGTGTTATTGGTGGTGGTATGGAGGAGAGCTAAATTTATACTATGTTAGCTATTTGTAGCTCGTGTGGGAAGACAATTTCAGTTTGGGCAAAATGCCGCTCATCGGCTTGTGGCTTTTGCCACAAACGACGATGACGTCTGGAATAGATCACTTCTCGCCCTAGTCACATTATATTATATTATATATTATATAGGTATACTGTTTTAACTTTTAGTATCATAATTCATGAATATAGGTAAGTACTTATGCCAAATATAACCGTAATTAATGAACTGTATCGCTGTTTTACTGTAGAAATGTTTGACTATCTTGAAATATCAAATTAATTATCTGTTAAAACATTACAATTTCAATGAAAATTAATTTTGAACAAACATTTAAAATCTGAGTTGAGTAGGTATTTATAGGTACATCGGCTTGAGTACTTTACAGTTGACAATAAATGAGATCAACCACTATAAATTGTCAACAATTACTTACTACTTGACCAAGTAGATATATTATATTCATAATACTTAAAACTATTATTCATACGTAGGTATAGATAATATTGAGAAGTACTCACAAAAAAGATATGTTTTTAAATATACAAATAAAACAAATTAATACACAATAGACGATAAATTATACTAATGAATACTGTAATGGTTATTGATTATATACACTGAGTGTAATTAACATGATTTTTTACTATAGTCAGAGATAGTGTAGCTTTTTCATTGTTTTAAATACTTATTTATTTTAGATTCTGAGTGAAACGATGAATGTATTGATTTTACAATGATGTGTGTTTTTTTATTTTTTTATTTTTTTTTATTTTTTTTGTATCTGTGTACACGATAAGTAGTCGAAATAATGCTTCGATTTTCGACTTCAGTATCTTGTTCGATTGGAAAGTGAATATCGTTGGTGCATTGGGGAGGTCAAAATTTAAATTTCCCAGTAGTTTTCACAAGCGCCGGGAAAAACAACATAAAAATTAAGGAAAAACGGGAATTTTTACGCAAAATTGATTTTCCAAAAAATCGATTTTGGTTATTGGTGTAACTCTAAAACAAAAGAACGTATATACATGCAATTTTCACTGGTTGTTTATATTTGCATTTTCTATACACGATAACATTTTCAAAATATTTTGATTTATTTTGAACTGTTTAGGGACATTTTCATTTTCCATTTTTTTTTAGTTTTTTTCTAAAAATTTCAATAAAATTTTATTTGTTGGTTGCGAAAGCTTGAAAATTTAATAGAAGGCTCCTAATATGTTGTTTCAAAGGCAGATGAAAAATATTAAAAATCCTTAGTCACAATTTTTTTTTATAAGCATTTAAAGTTCAAAAATTGACAAAATATGGAAAAATCACGAAAATTAGCAAATTATTTTGAGTTAAGAATTCGTAAAAATTTTTCTTTTTAAATCTAAGATTTGAAAATCTAATACAAGATTACTCATAAGATTGTCTACCTTTATCAATAAAAAAATTTCTACCGGAAAGTCAAATTAAATTTTTATGAGCGTTTGAAATTCAAATTTTTACAACATTGGATATTCACTCGATTTCTCATGTGGCAATTTCCTTTTTTTGTTGTAATTAAAAAACAAATTACTGTAGATACATGAAAATTTCACTGAATGTTTATATTAGCATTTCCTATACACCCTACAATTTTGAAAATATTTTGACACTTTTTGAGCCGTTTACGGACATTTTCAGTTTTCAATTTTTTTAGTTTTTTTTTTTCTATAAATATCAATTAAGTTTTATCTGTTGGGCCAAAAAGTGTAAAAATTTAATACAAGGCTCCTGATATATTGTTACAATATCAGTTGAAAAATATTAAAAATACATAGGCACAATTTTTTTTTATAAGCATTTTAACATCGAATTTTGATAGAATTTTTCAAAATCTCGAAAATTATTAATCATCGTAATTAATAAATTATAAAATGTTCAGTTTTTATAGCTAAGGATTGAAAATTTAAAACAAGATTCCACGTAAGTGGTTAATTCTCTTACCGAAAAATCTAAAAAATATACAATCACAGTTTACTTTTATAGTCATTTTATGTTCAAATTTGGACGAAATTACATATTAAAAAACCTAGTTATTTTGTTGTGATTATATAATATTATTCGTGGGTACCTACTTGAAACTTCTAAAGTGTACTATTATATATATATATGATAGTATCAGGGTTTGTTGTTGATGTTGATGTATAACGTGTTATAAGTACCTAATGGATATTGTGATAATGTGATATGATTAATTTGGAATTTATTATAGGTCAATTTTTTTTAATACCATACATATGTATATAATTTGTATTAAACCTAGACTGACATACCGTCTTCGCTCAGAATCGTTTTTCTTATACAATGATATTGTATCATTGAATTCAAATTTAATACCATCCATTATACAGTGACCCACTTGTAACCTACTGTACAGCAGAGCGACATCCACTTTTTTTTTTTTACTATTTTATTGTAACTACATTTTGTTCAATATTTCCTTATTCGTAACATATTTTCAGACCAAAAAGAATAAACCAATAAACCCAAAAAGAAACGTCAAATGTTTAACTGTTTATATTATAAAATTGTTTACATTTATGTAATTTATTTGCAATCTGTTGCAGCATTTATTGTATTTAGAAGTGGAGACAGATAAGAAAAATGCCATTAAAGTGATGATGACCAATAATTACATTAATACCTTATTGCCGTCGCCGTGTACCTAGTACCTACTACCGACATACCTAACACCTACGGCTAAACACATCGGCTAACACATAATAATTAGAATATTCAACGATACTAGCGCTTAGTACTAAACTGTGGTTTGTATTCTAATAGTGGGGACTCTAGAACAAAACTGACCCACATCATTGACGTTATCAGTTACCTATAACCTGAATACATTTTTTAATAGTCGTCGTGTTCATTCACACCTTATACATTCAAAATATTGGTAATATTTAATTGTTTTAATATTTATTTCAAAATGGTTTGTACATCTTTGTCACAAAATATTAAAACCGCTATATCTTATTAGTAAAAACTTTTAATTGTGTATATTGTTTTAGGCTGCTGACAAATATTTAATGAGACTTGAAGCAAAAGGTTTTCCGTTAGATGAAGTATGCGAAACTCCTCCCCCAAAAATATCAAATTTTTATTGGAAAAATGATGATGAAAGAAAGTTTAAAGTTTTCATGCCCACTCCAAATCGTACGTTATATTATACTCTAGAAGAATATGAAGGAGACATGGATATCAACAAATTCGATGATAAGAGGTTAGTGTAAATGTGTAATGCATATATACCTAATGTAAATACCTATATTATTCTATAACATAATAATATGTACATCAATTATTACTGTAAGTAGTCTACGTCACTTTAAAGACATTTTATTTGTGTCGTTTAACGTGTGTCGTGTTTGTCACAAGATGTAAAATGGTATTAAATTTGAATTCAATGATATAATATCATTGTATACCAAAAACGATTCTGAGCGGAGACTGTTACTCAGTGTGGATATTTTATATTATATTTATATTGTTATTACTTATTATTAATAAGGTAGTGGTGTTCAGTAAGTTGAATTAATATTATAAAATTACACCGAAATAACTAAAATCGTTATTTTTCGTTATTTAATATGTAATTTCCTCCAAATTTGAACATAAAATAACTATTAAAAAAAAACTGCGTTTTTATATTTTTGAGATTTTTTGTTTACAGAATAATCTACTTACGTGGAACCTTGTTTTAAAATGTTAATCCTTAGCTATTAAAGTTGAACATTTTATGAATTTTTAACCACAAATTCGTTTTTAAATTTAAAATTTGATAAATATAGTCAAAAATCGAACTTAATAACGTATAAATAAAAACTGTACCTAAGTATTTTTAATATTTTCACCTACTATTTATAACAATATAAGAGGAGCTTTGTACTAACTTTTCTCGCTTTTTCACCCATAAAATTGTATTGTCATTTATAGAAAAAAAATTGAAAAAATTGAAAAAAACCAAAAAATATTATCGTTTACATAAAATGCCAACATAAAAATTCAGTGAAAATTGCATGTATCTACTATGATTTTTTCTAGAGTTACACCAAAAACCAAAATCGATTTTGTCGATTCAGCCGAAAACCGATTTTGCGTAAAAATTACAGTTTTTCCTTAATTTTTGTTTTGTTTTTTCCTGCGTTTTTGAAAACTGTTGAGAAACCTCCCGAATGAAAGTATCTTAATTTTTGCTATATGGACATCCAAATGACGGAACAAGTTCCGTTGATGAAAGTTTATGTATAATGTTTAATGAATTTTATACGGTTATATTATACAGAACCTTTTGGCTTTTAGGTATATTCTATCATTACAACAGCAATACATTTATCACTTTCGTTGTTTTTTCAAAAATTTAATTTTTGATTTGAGAAAACTAATGGTGTGATAAAATATAAACTTTAAATTTAAGAGAATCATTAAAAATAAAATATTTATAGCAATACTATACGTATTACTATAATTATCATTAATATTATAATATTAATTTCCTTTATATAATTGAGCTAGTAATGGTATAAAAATAAAGTGATCGGTGTTGTTTTACAACTCTCACGTAGGTATTTAATATCCCAACAAAAAACTCCTCCAAACACAGTGTCAAAAAAACTGCTTTAACTGCTTTAAAAATTGTGATATAATTTTATGGCTAAGTCTTTTAACTATAGTGATATTATTTATACTAAAATAGTCTGCTAATAATAACAAATTGAACTTAGCTTGGCGACTTTAAGACACTTGATTAGTAATACAATACCTATTTTTATTATTTGTTAACTATATTACTATGTAGGTACACATTATGGCATGAAAAGTATTATTAAATTTTTAACTTAAGTCACCAAGCTAAGTTAATTTATTGAACAGACTATTTTAACATAAATGATATCTATGGTTCAAAGACTTAGTTATACAATTATATCACATCTTTTAGAGCTGTTTTTTTTATATATACTTAGCGTTTATTTACATGGAGTTTGACGGAGTATTGTTGTTGGGATATCACTAATTTTTTGTTGATACCTTATTATTTGTAAGTCATTGTTCCGTGACTAGAAATAAGACGTAATGATGTGCATATCAATTTATCATACAATCATAAAATAAGTACTAAGTACTATATTATTGTAATAATTATTATTATAATCATAACTACTAATTGATTACAGTTACTTTCATTACTAAATTTTAATACTTAATTAAGTGACCAAGGTTAATGATTTTTGTTTATTATAATAACAATATTGGAGATAACGTTGTGTAATTGGTATAATCAACTCAGATTAAAGAGCAAAGTGCCATACCTATTGATGTTGACTATTTATGTAAATATTGTTCTTAAATATGAATGTTTAACGTTGAAACTCCGGTGAATTAAAAACAAATATTTTTGAAAATGTATAAAATAAATATTTTTCAAATTAAATGTACAAATGCATAGGTACCATTTACTTCTTGGCAATAAAATAAATGGTCTTCAAATTCCTGATGAATATTTTGAAAATTAGCACTTGTTAGTTGTTAAGTTACGGCAGTGCGTTCGTCAATTATTTTTTGATTAAGCTCTCGGTGGTGTCATTAGTTGTTTTATAATGACCCCCAAAAAAAATCAATTAGTGTCAAGTCCAGTGATCTCGCGGGCCATTCAATAGGCCCGTGTCGCCTAATCCACTTCCCTGGATATTCTTGATTTAAATAATTGCTGACAGTAATTGTGTAGTGAGCTGGTTGAAAAACAATTTTTTCTTCGTCCAACTCAGCCATGTTGTCATTATTTTAAACTAACGGTTGAATGTTATTTTGAAGAATAGCAAGGTACTTTTCACCAGTTAGGTTGCCTTAAAAAATATCGGACCGATCACATGATCCCCTAAAATACCGGCCCAGATATTTATTTATTGGGGCCATTGAGTTTCCTATAGTCTCTTGACATGGGGATTAGATTCGGACCAATAATGGCAGTTTTTAATGTTCACTTCTTCACAAAGGGAAAATGATGATTCGTCACTAAATAAAATGTGATTTATTAAATCCACATCACCCCTTACTACTTATTTTATGATTGTATTATATATTAAATTAACTATTAAAAGTACGAAATAAAATGTTGAATTTGCAAATGTCCAAAACTAAAAAGGATGAAGAAAGATGAATTTAAACACCTAAATTCATACTTTACATACAATACCTACCATTATAGGGAACCTATGGGTTATGGTTCAAATTTCAAGTTTATACCACTGCGAGAAGAGCACCATAAAACATTGCATTTAACATACATAAGATATATTAATGACAACTACCATTACCTTAGCCAAATAATAAAGAATCCAAATTTATGCTATTGTAAAAAAAGTAGTTGTGAAGAAAAAATGTTAAGGGAATTAATTAATTACTATTATAATAATAAATTACAATAATTATACTGATTTTGATTATTTTGATGAACAATGTTTGCCAACAATTTTTGTTAGTGTTATTTTTTTCAGAGCGTGTCATTAGATTACCAATTTTAATATATAAAAAGATAGTTATAAGAAAAAATAATTTAGTTCTTGTAAATAAAACCCATACCAATTATTTCAGTTATAAGTATTAATGCATATAGCATATGTTACTAAACTTTAGAGGACCATAGTTAATAAACTAGCGAACCAAAATGAATGATTTTACTATAAAAATTTCAGACAAAAAAGATTTACCGGAATCCATTAAAAATATAGTGATTACCATTTGAAAAAATAAAGTTTATTTTGCAATTGCTACAAAAGTGTGTTTAAAATGTTGAAATTGTTATAAAAAAATTTGCTAGTTAAAAATAAGGAAAGACGTTTTTTTTCATTTTTTCGAAATACCATATCATTGATCCATATAATCATTAAAAAAAACCCGCGTACAATGACATGATATACATTATACACCCTGTACATATATTATATGTAATGTAATAGTACTATAGTAACTTTTTTTTTTAGATGGACATTTGGGAAAAAGTGTGTACGGTTAGCTGTTTCAAATAGACGCGCCGCAGATCAATCGTTTATTGATCATATGGAGTTTTTGATTGCTAATTTGAAGGAATGGTATGAACGAAACGATGAACTCATGTCAAACGTCGGAGGTGATGTGGAAGATTCCAATATAAATCTGTATAAACACTATGTAATTAATAAATACTTAGTGGATGATATACAAAATATTCCAACAGAATCAAGGTGCTTAAATCTAATTATTTATTATTATATGTACAGTTATTTTGTACTTTTGGTTTCTTCTAGTTGTTTAGTGAAATATTGTAATTGTATTGATTTTCATTAGGCACTATATCTATAGACATTTAAAATTAAAATTTTTTTCTATAAATTTCAATTAAGTTTTTTCGTTTGGTCAATATGTTTAAAAATTTTAATTAATACAATATTTTTCTTGAGTTATTATAATAGCTGTAGAAAATATTAGATATGCACGGACAATGACGTTATCAAATGCAATTTTCAAAATTAATTCAACCTACTGCTGTATTACTAAAAGGTCTAATAGTAAAAATCAATTACAGTGACCCACTCGACACCTACTGTATAGTACTGTAATAAATTCTAATTTGTGAAATGTTTGTTTATTTAAATAGAGGAATACATGGAAAAATCAGAGGTGGCCGTACAATATCAATACATCCTAGTTTTGATGAAGCAAAAGTAATTTATGCAATGGACATGGGATTTAAATTAGCAGCAAAACGTTTTGCCAATGATCAAAATTATGGAATTTATGCCTATGGTCGTAATGATGGATATTCTTACTATTAGACTTCCTTTTTATTTCCTTGATTTTCGGAGTTGCTTTATTGTATACTAATAATTATAATTTATTAAGTTTAATTTTATGTCTAAATGTCTAAATGCCTATAATCGCCTAAGAAATTGAACTTATTTTATTTTATTTAACAACAAAACAGGCCATGGCCCAATAAGTACAGAACAAAATATAGTATATGTATGTTTACAAGAAAAATATGAACTCTAAACATTATAAATATAAATATATAAAATTACTACTAACCATACAATTACTAAATGTACGTATTTCAACGTGCAATTTTTTTTTCAACAACTAAATTACAAAAATACAATTATAATTTTCAATATGTTTGATTATTTAACCTCTATAAGCAAATCTTGTGTTGAGGACATGAGGTAAATGAATTACAACATGTAGTTATACCATAGTAATTTTTTAAAAATAATCGTTATTTAAATGAAATAACTTAAGTTATACAAATAAAATTGATATGAAAGTTATAAGGGCTTTTAGAACCCGTGTCATTTTTCACGGGAATTAAGGTATTGAATGCTTAAATATCCTATTTTCCATTTTTAGAACGCTGTGATTTATAATCGATACTAATGTATAACGATCCGAAAAAGAAATTTAACATATTATAATATAAATCTCTATATATATAAAATTACTTGTCCTGAGTGATTCACCATCGCCTAGCCGGAACCGCTGAAGCTATGAGTATGAAATTTGGAAAGTAGTTTTGTTTTGTGATGTAGACACCAACTAAGAAAGGATTTTTCAAAATTCAACTCCTACAGGGGTTAAAAGGGATAAAAGGGATAAAAATGAAAAAAATTACCTAGCTGGAACCACTGAAGCTATGAGCATCAAATTTAGTCAGAAGTTTAATTTTATGATGCCAGAATCCCCTAAGAAATGATTCTTCAAAATTCAACCTTACGGGGAAAAAAAGGGGTAAACATGGTAAAAATTAATAGACTGATTCATTTGCCTTATCACCAACTTCACTGTATCTGTAACCTAACGCAGGTAGATTGCTTACTTGATAATATACTGTTCGCATAGCCATAAGATAGACTACCGGGCAACTCCACGCGAGATGGCTAGAAATTAAAGTATAATATGATTTTGATATGCACAGCGGCCACAACAAATTACTCCTAAAAGGAGTTAATTGATCAACATTTTTTTTCCGGGTGACGCCGGGTTATTCAGCTAGTATAGTTATTAGTTATATAAAATAACTTTTGTCCCACAATATTACTAAAATGTACAAACTAATATGTTATTAGAAATTAAATATTTAATAGATAGTAGTAATTTCATTCAAGCTTCACTCAGTAGTCCAAAAACTTATGGTCTTAAAGAGCTGAAAAAAGATTACTTCCCATAGTGGTCATCCAGGGCCTAATTTTTTTTTTTTTTTTTTAGGGGGGGGGGCATAAGTACAAAAAGTACAAAAATTGGCTACAAAATTAGCTAAACACAGTGTAAAACAAAGGGAAACTAAGGATATTGGGGGGAATGCCCCCTTTACCCCCCTGTATCCGAAACTGACTTCCCACATTTGACAATAAAAACAGAGAATTAACAAGAATTTTAAAAATGATACCATACTATTCAGGAAAATTATATATTTAATTTTAAAAAAGGTGCTCTGCTGTACAGTAGGTTACAAGTGGATCACTGTATAATGGATGGTATTAAATTTGAATTCAATGATATAATATCATTGTATAAGAAAAACGATTCTGAACGGAGACGGTATGTCAGTCTAGGTATAAGACATATTATATACTTATCTATGGTATTAAAAAAAATTGACCTTTAATAGGTAGGTACCTATAATGAATTCCAAATTAATCATATCACAATATCCATTAGGTACTTATGAAGCGTTATACATCAACAATAACAAACCCTGATACTATCATAGATATAGATATATAATAGTGTACTTTGAAATTTTCATGTATCTACAGTTGTTCGTTTTTGAATTACAACAAAATTAGGAAATCGCTACATGAGAAATCGAGTGAATATCCAATGTTGTAAAAATTTTAATTTCAAACGCTCATAAAAATTTAACTTGACTGTCCGGTAGAGATTTTTTTATTGATAAAGGTAGATAATCTTATAAGGAATCTTGTGTTTCATTTTCAAATCTTAGATTTAAAAAGAAAAATTTTTACGAATTCTTAACTCAAAATAATTTGCTAATTTTCGTGATTTTTCCATATTTTGTAAATTTTTGAACTTTAAATGCTTATAAAAAAAAATTGTGACTAAGGATTTTTAATATTTTTCATCTGCCTTTGAAACAACATATTAGGAGCCTTCTATTAAATTTTCAAGCTTTCGCAACCAACAAATAAATTTTATTGATATTTCTAGAAAAAAAACTAAAAAAAAATGAAAAATGAAAATGTCCCTAAACAGTTCAAAATAAATCAAAATATTTTGAAAATGTTATCGTGTATAGAAAATGCAAATATAAACAACCAGTGAAAATTTCATGTATCTATATCTACGGTCATTTGTTTTAAAGTTACACCAAAAACCAAATTCGATTTTTTGGAAAATCGATTTTGCGTAAAAATTCCCGTTTTTCCTTAATTTTTATGTTGTTTTTCCCGGCGCTTGTGAAAACTACTGGAAAATGTTTACTTTTGACCCCCCAAAGTACCAACTAGATTCACTTTCCTATCAGAAAAGGTACTATTGAAGAAAATCGAAGCACTTTTACTGTCCCAAAACGTGATGACAGACACAAAAATATAAAAATATAAATAAAAATATAAAAACATACATCATTGTAAAACCAATACATTCATCGCTCCGCTCAGAATCTAAAATGTTATCTTCAACCGGTGAAAATTTCATGTATTTAAGGTAATTTGTTTTAAAGTTACACCAAAAACTAAATTCAATTTTGTGAAAAATCGATTTTGAGTAAAAATTCCAGTTTTTCCTTAATTTTTCTTTAGTTTTTCTTGGCGCTTTTGAAAATTACTGTTAATTTTAAATTTTGAACTTCCCAATGTACCAACGATATTCACTTTCCAATCGAACAAGATACTGAAGTTGAAAATCGAAGCATTATTTCGATTACTTATCGTGTACACAGACACAAAAATAAAAATAAAAAACACACATCATTGTAAAACCAATACATTCCCGTACGTTGCGCCAGCCCGGCTCTTTTCGAAAAATCGTTCCACTCAGAATCTAAAAGAATTAGAGTCTTACTGTAATTCAGTTGTAGATATTTTACGAAGAAGTTATTTAGAATTAAGAAAACAGTTTTTGGAAATAGCTAATATTGATCCTTTTCGATATACAACTATGACAGGTGTTTGTATGTATATTTATAAAGCAAAATATTTGTTTCCGGGATCTATAGTTGTTTTAGATAAATAAAAATAAAAGTTATTTAAAACAACCGTTACGTATAGTTACGACATTTTTATTAATATACATATATAAATACCTATAAAACATGACAATTTTGAAAATTGAAAGTTAATTTTGAATAAACATTTAAAATCTAATATCACATAAAATATAACGGATTTGAGTAGGTATTTATTAATAAACATCGGCTTGAATACTAATTGACAATAATTGAGATCAACCACGATACATTATTGTCAACACTCACCTATACTACTTGATCAAGTATATTATTATTTATCATTTAAACTGTTCAAGTATTAAATAAGTACTAAAGAATATATATCTAATCATAAAAGCCAATAGATACCTACTTATAACTATTATCTATACGTACTATGTTTAGATAATATTGAGAAGTACTCGCAAAAATTATTTGTTTTTAAAATATAGGTACAAATAAAAACAAATTAATACGCAATCGAAGATCAACACTAAAATATACTGTTGAATGATTATACACCGAGTGTAATTAACATGAATTTTTATTGTAGACAGAGATTATGTGTTGCTCAGGTCTCGAATAGCGAAAATCGAAGATATTATTAAAGTTCCAAAAAATTTTCATTATTTTAAAGAACAACTTACTTTATTTTTTATTGCTGCTTTATTGTACATTTTGTTCAATATTTCCTTATTCGTAACATATGTTCAGACCAAAAACAATAAACCAATAAACACAAAACAAAACGTCGAAATGTTTGAATGTCATATTATAAAATGTTTTACATAATATTATAATATGTAACTTATTTACAATATGTTGCAGCATAAATTGTATTTATGGTGGAAGCAGATAAGAAAAATTCCATTAGTGATGATAACAAATCACAGTAATACCGTATTACCACAGAATAGATAGAATTACCGTGTACCTACTACATACAAGGCTACACATAATTAATAAACGTTATTGTATCTATAGAATATTCAACGCTACTAGGGCTTAGTACTAAACCGTGGTTTGTATTTTGATATCCCACTCAAGAACAAAACGGGCCCAAATTCTGGACGTTATAAATTGTAAAAGAATCGGAATTAATATTTTAAAAGCGGTATCATATCGAATGTTCATTCCCACCACATAGATTCACGATATTCGAAATATTTAATTGTTTTAATATTTATTTCCAAATGGTATAGTTCTATAGTTAAACTCCACAATCTTATTTCCCATTATATATTTATATAGCTTGTATCCTTTACACCTTCGCATTTCGATGAGTGTCAATTCCTTGTGGTCCGTCATTGCTACCCACCGTCACATCGTTGGGCTGTGTGTTGATTTGCCTATACATTGGAAGTAGGCGCTGTCAAACGGTCGTTGTCTGAAGGGTTAATCGTGCATGCAATTTTGGTTGCCTACCCTTGACGCCTTCTATATTCTCGGTAGATACGTTTACTACTAGTTTAGTTTATCGAATGATCCTTCGAAATCATCGCTCACTCTCATTTGGCCAAATAATTGGATTTCACCTAAAACGCCGGTTGGCAATTGAATAATACAATTTGATTCGGGATATGATCACCTTTACACACTTATTATATTATT